GACAACTGCGCACCCGGATCACCACCCACTTACGCGCCAGACGAAGAAGAGTTCCCACCATCGCGCTCACAAGGTCTTCAAGTCAATCCAACATATGCTGCGGTCGCCAACGCCGAACCCACCGGGCGAAACACTTGGTTTTTGGACAGCTGCTGCGGTCAACACATGTGCTCCTCGGGACGCTTCGTGCAACAGGAGAAACGGCTCAACCGCGACGTCGTCATCACCATCGCCAACAACGAAAATCTGAAAACAAACAGACAAGGCGTGGTTCAGTTACAATCAATGGAGACAAACGTTATCCTTCAGCTCAACAAGGTCCTCATCGTCGACAATCTGGGATACAACCTACTAAGTGTAAGCCAACTAATGGCTAAGGGGATTCACCTGGAGTGCGACTCCTTCTCCAACGAGTTTCGGCTTTACCACGGGAAGGGCGGCCTCTTCATCGGTCGTGCCCTCCTGAAGTCCGGTGTCTTCGTGTTGGACTTCGTCCCCGACCGCGGTACCGCCGACAGCGACGGTATCGTATCGTTCGCCGCCTGGACACACCCGCCGGATCTTGATCCCGACTTCGACAGTGACGGCTTCTGGCACTCCAACACCATACCTGCAGCAGAAAGAACACGAGCATTAGCAGTTATCAGACAAGAAAGACAAGTACCCGCAAATATACCAACCAAACCATCACCTGCAGTATCGGCAGCAGGACCCAGCCGAGTCCCACCACCAGCGATCCGAGGACCGCCAACCGAAGCAGACCAGCTTATGCCCGTCACACGAGAAGTTTGTCGAAGTCCCGCCTCAGTCGTCGCGTTCTTCTCCAACGCCGACATATACCACCGCTCACCCGGCCATCGCGCTCCCGACGACATCTGGCACCAACGCCTCGGGCACCCTGCAAATAGTACAATACTACAAACCATCCAAGCCGAAGTGTTAGAACGCAATGCCCTCCTAACAACGAGCGGCCAAGAACTTCGACGACCTCGCGCACGGTGCTTCACGTGCCCCGAAGCAGATCTTCCTCATCAACCCTTCCCATCACATCATAATCCAAGCGCGCCTGCATATGCAACGATGGAAAAAGTCTACAGCGACATCTTGAACATGCCTCGAGACGGCACGGAAGCCGACTTCAACTACGTCATCACCTTCGTCGATGCAGCAACAAGATACACTTGGCATTACAACCTCAAGACGCGCGATCAAGCCTTCGACGCCTTCACAACATGGCTCCCCATCGCCGAACGGGAATCAGGAACCAAGCTCAAAAGCTTCCAGTCAGACGGTGCACTGGAATACCAGTCACAACGCTTCAGGACCTATCTGGCGGAAAGAGGAATCAAGCGCCTGGTGTCCCTACCATACGCTCACCAACAGCAGGGGGTCGCAGAACGCATGAACCGGACCTTGCAGACGACGATGCGAAAGCTGCTCCTGGGGATGAAACTGCCCAACACACTGTGGCCAGACGCGATGACACATGCAGTCCACCTGCACAACCTGTTGTCCTCGTCATCGCTCCCCAACAACGCATCACCGCACCTGCTGTGGACGGGAAAAAGGGGCAGCACAAAATTACTTCGAGTTTTCGGCTGCATGGTACAATACAGACCCCACACAGCTCGAGCAGGACGCTTCACTTAACGAGCTCGGTGGGGACTACACCTCGGCATCGCCAAACATTTTCACGCGTGGAAGATTCTCGACATACAAGACAAAAATACGGTGGCATCACGTGATGTTATCTTCTACGAGCGACTGACGCTGCAGCATTACCTGGACAACATTGCCAACTCAGACGACCCCACCGACGGCTTCGCGGGCCTTCGCTCCTTCGCTGACCATGCTGCCGAGGCTGACGCAGCAGAAGAAGACGTCCCTGGAGCCTCGGAGGCTGCCGGACCACTCCCCTACTGCTCCGTACCAGTTCCACTCGATGAAGATAATCCCCTCGATAGCAACAACCTCGACACCTTTTACCACTTCGCTGACCAAGGCTACGCTACACCACACCCCGTCGACTCGAACATTTCCGAACGCATCGGGCCAAACTTCTTACCCGATCCTGAAGACGGTGATGAAGCAGCTTATCCCGGGAATGAAAATTCCCCTCGACACACAGCCACGGGACTGCAGATCCTAGGACTATGGGTCTCCGTCCAGCACCCGCCGCCGCCTTCTCCGCGCGAGCCGTCGACCCTGTCGCAGGCTCTGGGGGGGGAACATAAGGCGAAATGGAAGGAAGCAATGGAAAAAGAGTTAAAAGCCCTCCAAGACCGGAATACATGGAAGTTAGTACCGACAACCAACACCAACGGGAGGAACATTCTCTCGGGGAAATGGGTGTACCGCATTAAGACCAACGCGGACGGCTCCATCGAACGTTTTAAAGCGCGATGGGTCGTACGAGGCTTCGACCAACGATACGGAACCGACTACACAGAAACCTTCGCCCCAGTCTCCCGTCACACCTCCCTGCGCATCCTACTCGCCGTCGCGGCCACGAAGAAACTACCACTACGGCAAATCGACGTCGCAAACGCCTTCTTGTACGCACCTGTGGACGCCGAAATCTTCGTCGAACAACCCCACGGATTCATCGACGACCCTTCAAAAGTATGCCAGCTGGAAAAATCCCTTTACGGGATCAAGCAAGCCCCACGGCTCTGGCAGCAGCACCTTCACGGCCGGCTCGTAAAAATCGGATTCCTACAGTTACCACATGACCAAGGCATGTACCGACTGCAGAAGGGAAGAGATTACATTCTGCTCATCGTCTACGTCGACGACCTGCTCTACATCGGTTCTACCACCGACATCGTCACCTGGTTCGAAGGGGAGCTGAAAGGGGACCTGACGCTCACGGTGTCCGACTCAGTGACCCAGTACTTGGGACTAAATATCGTCGAAGACAACTCGGCGTTCTACCTACACGCTGGAAAGTACGCAGGCACTGTCGCGAAGAAATTCGGACTAACACCGGCTACCGCCCCAACTCCCTACCACTACGGAAACAACAACAACGCCTCCGCAAAACTCCCCGCGAAGCAAATCCAGGAGTATCAACAGAAGCTCGGCTGCCTACTATTTGCAGCAGTAACCTGCCGACCCGACCTGTCCTATAGTGCAAGTCAACTGGCGACGCATCTGAAGCAACCGGAACAGGAGGATCTCGAGGAGCTCAACCGGGCACTACTCTACTTCGTCTCCACGCCGACGATCGGACTTACCTACAGCAAAGCGACAACACCGTCCGTACAACTACTCGGATACGTCGACGCCGACCACGCGGGAGATAGGAAAAATCGACAATCTAGGACGGGCTACATCTACCGACTAGAACCCATCGGAACTATCTCCTGGCAGTCGAGCAAGCAGGAGTTAATCGCACTATCCTCGGCTGAAGCAGAGTACATCGCCCTTTGTACCGCGACCAAGGAAGGACTCTACCTGCGAGAGTTACTCGAGGAAGCGAAGATCACGACCCTGCCCGCCTTCTCACTCTTCTGCGACAACCAATCTGCGATCAAAATCGCAAACAAGGACGGCTTCGCCAACCGAACCAAGCACATCGCCCTGCGGTACTTCTTCGTCAAGGATGAAATCGCGAAGGGGAGACTTCAACTCAGTTACTGCCCGACGACAGAAATGGCCGCAGACTATTTGACGAAGAAATTGGCGAAAGCAAAATTCGACTACTGCATGTTACTGACCGGACAAACAAACTTCGCCGGACCTGAACAAGTCAGCACTCCAGAAACGAAGGGGAGTGTTGAAAGTACATCAAAAGACTTAAGCGTTTCTGAAGTGTAACACTACACTCGAGGAAGATTGCAAGGGGTACGCGAGTCAACAAAGGTTACACGAGGGGGCGGACAAAGAACACGAAGGGTCTGGGACTCAAAGGGTCGCAACTGGAGGTTGCGACTGACCGTTACAACATCATGGATGGTAACCGAAGCGGTAATCGAGTCGCCGTGCGACTTGATAAACCGTTCCTGTAACTGTACTCTACAACTGCTTTCTTATCTTCTATAAATTGCTGTATGCTTGTTTCTTTAATCAATCACTTGTTCTCACATACTAGTACAAGGGTTCAACTGTCTCAAACTTCCGCTGCACTACTCAAGGTCTGAAAGTCTCTACAGCTGGGACTTAGTCTCTGCAAAAGATCCTAAGGGCTTTTCTCAGCCCAACATTGTACAAGCTACTTTTATATCTGCTAGAAGTACCTATTCGGTGATGTACCTGTTCGAGCTATTTGCGCTATGCGCTCTAACCGCTACTGAAAAGAGCGCGACTGTTCGCGTGATAGAAACGGCATGCTGACGTAATCATATAGACGAGTGCTATTTGCTGTCGTCATTCTACGGAAGCTAACTACAGTGTAACTCGACAATATCTATCGAGACTACTTACGTAAATGCTTTTATCACAACAAATTAAACGCATCATTTTTTTCTTTGGCCATAGCTCATACAACCCCACTTGAACATACGTTTGGAACTCAACCTTAGGAAGATCTTATCTAGAGGGTGCGTACATGGGATACGGGATACCAAAATCCCTACGGAATATTTTGATACACCTTCTCGATCTGTTCCTTACATTTCTTATCCATTTATTGTAGGTGCAAAATCAAACACACTTTCTATCATCCAATTATTCAATCCATTTGTAACAGGTAGACTTGAGCACTTGTTGGATCCAGCCGTCCATTTAGCGGAGGATCGGCGGTGCTCACATGGACCCCGAACCCGCCAAGTCCACCAACCTCGGCGCAACTGTTCCCGAGGAAAAGCTGCCATGCATCCCCCCTTCCCTCCCAACGGCAAAAGACTACCCCCTCCCTCTTCCCCCTTTCTCCTCACATTCCCTCCCCTCCCCGTGTGGCTGCTACACCTCCCTGAGCCAATCAACCCCATCATCCCACGCACAGCAGCCACAGCGACTGACTTCCCTCCCTCCCACATCACATGCACCTTGTGCTCTCACGCTCACTCACCCACCCACCTCTGCTCCGCGTCCTCTTTCCCAAGCTAGCTTGACCGCCTACCTTATTACAGTACGTAGACCCTCTCACCTTTACCTCCTGGCCTTGAGTGTGCTATGCACGGGCGTCCAGTGTCCTGCATCTGCTCAAACTGCGCAAGGGACAGCCTTGGTGCAATCAAGCGCGCGCATGCGAGCCTAAGGTTCTTGCCTCGGTTGGTATCTGTGCCCGTCGCATCCTAGGAAGCCATTCCAGCACTGGGGCAAGATCGTCCTAGCCCGCCACTACATTGATTTCCGCCCGTCCGCCTCCTACGACGCTCCCAGCAGCCCATGTCCTGCTCTATCCCTGCCGGCCCTGCTTGCAAACTCGCATCCTGAGCGCGCGAGCCGAATGTGCACTGATGCGTTTCACGTGCTCCTCTAGCCGATCACCCCCGCCGATCCCCCAGCCTATGGCCGGCACTCCAATGCGCTGACTCCGCCATTCTATCTCTCATCGTGGCTAGATCGGCGCCTCGCTTCCACATTGCGCCCTCGTGCCGCGGCCATGGCTGCCAGCTGGCGTCCACGTCATCATATATTCAGACCCTGACGACGCCTGCTGCATCCATCTGCCTAGTCCCGTTTCTAGGTTTCTTCAAGCCTCCTCGTTTTTCTTCCGCGTTTCTTGACGGCGTGCGGCACGACGCGGACGACGACCAATGTCGAATGCGGGCGAGCGGGTGATGAAAGAGGGATCGGCTCGTAGAGCGGGGGAGCGCAGGGGGAGTAGAAGCATGGGCGGGGGCTCGGAGAACAGCAGAGGCTCGGCGAGCGCCGGTGCCAACGGGGTTATCGACGCGCGCTCCAAGGCCTCCGAGAAAGGCAAAGGCGCCAGCGAAACGGCCGAGGAAACGTCGAGCGAAATCGAGAGCGACGTGACCGTCGAGATGGACAGCACCGGCACCAGCAGCAGCAGCGGCAGCTACAGCGGCAGTATCAAGGCGGACAAGGCGGCGACGAGCCAAGGGGGGAGGCAGTCGGGTGCAGGCCCCGCCGTCCACCCGAACCGGGAGCTCCCCATGCCCACGCTCAACCGCGCCCGCTTCGGCCTCCCCGCCATCTGCCTCGACCTCGCCGTGCTCCCCAGCGGCTCCGCCGGCAGCCCGAGCGGCGGAAGCAAGGCGGCGCAGGCGCGCGCGGGCGCGGACGGGCGGTGGGCGCGGAGCGCCAGCAGCGGAAGCGCCGGGAGCAGCGCGGAGGAGGAGACGGGGGAAATCGTGGGGACGGAGGAGGAGCCGATGGACGTGCGCGCGCGCAAGCAGAAGTTTTTGTTCTTCGAGAAGGAGTGCTCGCAGATCATGGCGCACGTGTTCGTGGGCAGCGACGCCGTGGCGCGCGACAGGGACATCCTGCGCAAGTCCGGCATCACGCACGTGCTCAACTGCGTGGGGTTCGTGTGCCCCGAGTACTTCCCCGGCGATATCATCTACAAGACGCTCTGGCTGCAGGTGCCGCTGCTGCCTTATCCCTTTCCCCCTCCCCCCACCTCCCCATGCGATCCGCGTTACCGTCGTCCGTTTTGACTTCTTTTCTTTTCTTTCGGGGGGGGAGGGTACGGATCGTCTGTCATTTCGTTACGGCTCCGGCTGCGGCGCCCCCTGCATTGCGATGCTGGACGCTGCGTGGCAGTGTCGCTCGCGCGCCCAGCATTGCGACGCTCCCCCTGGTCCTCCCCTGCTCTTCCCCCTGCTCTCTCCCTCCTGCCGCTCTCCCCCCTATCCTCTGCAACCTGCCTTTCCCCGTAACCTTAGGGTGCGTGCTGTACGACGCGTTCGACGTCCTCTCGTCTTGATGGAGCAAAGAGCCTTTGCTTGCTCTGACCATCTTTCCCTCCATCCCCTCTCTAACCCCTTCTCCCCTTTCCCCCCCTTTCCTCCGCCCTCTCCCCCCCCTCCCCCCGGTTCCCCCCGGCAGGACAACACGTCGGAGGACATCGGGTGCGTGCTGTATGACGTGTTCGACTTCATCGAGGCGGTGCGCGAGGCGGCGGGGCGCGTGTTCGTGCACTGCTGCCAGGGCGTCTCGCGCTCCACCTCGCTCGTCATCGCTTACCTCATGTGGACCGAGGTGCGCCGCCACCATCCCATCACGCCGTCCCATCGCGCCGTTCCGCCATGCCGTCCCATGTTATATCATCCAATGCCGTGTCATGCCATCCCATGCCATCCCATGCCATCCCATGCCATCCCATGCCATCCCATGCCATCCCATGCCACGACACGGCATGCTCCGCCATTTCATGTCGCAGTCGAAGTCGTGGGAGTTCCTAGGATACAAGTGGGCTGATGGAAGAGTGAGAGAATCAGAAGAACACGCACACATGGAATGGTCGAAGCACAGCTTCTGTCCAGGCATCTCAAACGCACGGCAAGCCTAGCACTTATCAGGCTCAGCGTTGGCGCGCTGCTGCCATTTGCACGCCCCCCGTGTGCCACTGCCCGTGTCTCATCCGCACTCTCTTCCCTACCCCTGCCTCCCTCGCTAACCCCGCTCATCCGCATCCCCTCACTGTCCCCGTTCCCCGTTCCCCCGTTCCCCCCCTCCCCCCCGCCCCCCCTTCCGTTCCCCGTCCTCCGTCCGCGTCGCGTGCGGCGTGCAGAAGCGCGGCTTCGAGGACGCGTTTCGGTTCGTGAAGGCGATCCGCGGCGTGGCGAGCCCCAACATGGGCTTCGCGTGCCAGCTGCTGCAGTGGCAGGAGCGCGTGCTGCCGCCCTCCGCTCTCCCGCCCGCGCACCCCGCGCTGCTGGACGACACGGGCACCGCGGAAGACGGGCGCTGCAGCAGACAGGATGGGGACGGCCCTCGGGAGAGAGAGGAGAGGGAGGAGCGGGAGAGGGAGAGGGAGAGGGAGATGGAGCGGGTGGTGCGGGTGTATCGCATGGCGCCGCATTCGCCGTACGATGCCGTGCACCTGGTGCCCAAGATGGTGCTGGAAGTGGGGCCTCGCTGCCTCGACCCCCGAGGAGCCTTCGTCATCCAGGTGCCTTTCTCCCTCTCTCTATCCTTCCTCTCCCCCCCCTCCCCCCCCCCCCCCCCCCCGCCTCCCCCCCTCCCCTCCTCTCTCCCCGCTTCTTGCTCCTCTGCTGCTGCTGTCGTCGTGCCTTCCCCCCACCCCCCCCGTCCCCCCTTCGACCCTCTCTCTCCCATCAAGGTTCCAATCGCTCCCATTATTACCGCGCGCCGTCCCTCCCCTTCCCCCTCTCCCCCTTGGCCCGCCCTCACCGTTACGTTCCCCTTCCCCTCTACAGCCGTCCTTCCTCACTCGCACCAATACGCTCCTCTCCTGCGTCCCTTCTCTCCCTCCGCTCATTGCCCCCACCCCCACCAACCTGCTGCTCATCATCCTCCCTTTCCCCCACTCCCACTTTCCCTGCAATCTCTCCCCCTCCCCCTCCCCCCCCCCCCCCTGCAGGTGGGTCGCAGCGTGTACACGTGGAGGGGCAGCCAGTGCCACGCGCTGATGGCGGAGCAGGCAGAGCGGGCAGCGCGGCAGCTCGTCACGTACGAGGGCCTCTCGCTCTCCCCCGACTGCCCCTCCCCGGTGCTCCAAGGCGCAGAGCCCGCGCCCCTGCTCTCCGCCCTCCGCTCGTACGCCTCGCAATCTGATAGGCGGGCCAGCGGGGGGGGCAGTGGCGACGGCGGCGGCAGCAGCAGTGGTGACTGGGCGGCGGTGATAGAGAGAGAGGGGCTGACATATCTTGGGCAGGACGCGCATAAGATTGCGGGCGCGGGGAGCAAGTCCCTTGCCACGGACTCCAACATCCCCAAGCTGGCCTCCATCCCTGGCAGTCAGAGCGCCAGGAACAGCAGCAGCAGCAGCAGCAGCAGTAGCAGTAGCTGTAATAGTGGCAGTGGCAGTGGTAGCAGCAGTAGCGGTAACGGAAGCAGCAGCAGTGCTGGTAGTAGAGACAGCAGTAGCTCGCATACTGAAGGCAACGCATGCAGGGACGGCACCAGCACCAGCACCAGCAGCAGCGGCGAGAGTGGTCCCATGGGAGAGGTGGCAGAGCAGCAGAGCGAGTACGACTTCGACTACGAGTGTTTCCTCAACGCCGTGGACGGAGGCACGCCCAAGCCCATCCCGGGCCTGGGGTCCCCCAGCTCCAAGGTGCTGCCGCACCACGGCAGGGGCTGGCTGGGCGCCACTCTAGACGACTGCTGGGCGTCGCTCGCTGCAGGGGGAGGGGGTGGGGATGTGGACGATAATAGTGACGGTGCAGGGGAATGCAGTGAGCGAGCGTCCTTTCGCCTGCACAGCCGGTCATTTTCCGTGGGTCAAGCCACGCTGCCCTCACTATTCCCAGTTCCGCCCTCCGCCTCCTCCTCCGCGTCTGGTCCGTCTAAGCCGGGCGCGCTGTCCTTAGGAGCGGACTCCGGGGGGAAAGCTGGCTTGGGCAAGCCCCGCTTCGCCCCTGTGCTGCGCAAGCCGCTGCCGTCCCTGCCGTCGCCCTCGTCCTTCTCTCCGCGCTCCCTGGGCTTCTTCCCGCCCTCGGGCGTGGGCGCGTACGGCGCGGCGCTGCAGAAATACAGCCCGGAGAAGAAAGGCGAGGGTGGCATTCCGGGTGCAGCAAGCACAGCAGGCGCAGCGGGTGCAGCGGCAGGCAGTGGCATGTCTACCAGTAACAGTGGCAGCGGTAGCAGCAGCAGCGGCAGTGGCAGCAGTAGCGGTATTCAAACGAAGGCTCAGCGGGGTAGCAGGCTGCAGGTGTCCACAGGGGGCCTCGCGGGCTTGCAGGGGATGGGCGGGACGAGTGGGGCGGGTGGTGCGGAGGAGGAGGGGGAGGGGAGGAGGGGTTAACGGGCAGAAAGGGTGGTGGGGGCGAGAGGGGCGGGAGAGAAGCAGATCAGCAGCTGGTAGGAAGGATTGTTGTGGATGACATGAAAGCCGTGCGAGAGGAGGAGGAGGCGGAGGTGGAGGAAGGGGAGGAGGGTGCAGGGGGTGCGTACGGCGTTCAGAGGGTGTCAGTGCGAGGTGGGGAAGCAGGCAGCAGGAGGGATACGCATGACGCAGAGGGCGTGGGGCAGGGAGCAACAGCGCAGGAGGAGAGGAGAGTGAGAGAGCCGCGGACCCGTGTAAGTCGAGGGAAGACGAGCAGTGGAGCAGCAGCAGCAGGTAGAGGAGAGGTGTCAGGGACCAGGGAGCGAGCAGCGTCTGCTAGAGATGGCACAAGGGCCTCCCGGGAGCGAGACCCTGCTGCAGCCTCTTCTCTTGCTGCTGCACCTTCCGCTCGTCCGCTCCCTCCCAAGCCTTCCCTGCCCTCTGGCGGGGCCCCAGCAGCAAATCCTGGCCCCCTTACCTCCTCCTCTGCAGCCCCCCGCTCCACCCTCCCCCCCAAAGGCCGTTCCGCCTCCCCTTTGCGCCGCCCCCGGCCCCAGCAAGCCAGTAGTGGTGCTGTTCCCAGGGGGGGAGGCAGGGGCGGTGGTGTGGGTGGGATGGCTGATGGGTTGATGGATGGGGGAGGGGGGGCAGGAGATGAGGAGGAAGAGGATGGCAGTGCGGAAGGGGGGGGAGGGGATCTATATGGGGTGCTGCTGACGCCTAGAAGGCAGCCGCCTGTGTCAGCCTTTGGGAGGGAGAGGGGGACGCGGAAGGGGAGAGAGGGAGGGGAGGGCGGTGTTAGGAGAGGGCGAGTGGGGGCGGAGGACAAGTGGGGGGGCGATGGGGAGGGGAAGGAAGGAGGTGAGATGAGCTTTGGGGGGATTGATGGCGGGTTTGGTGTGACTGGGATGGATGATGAGGGGGGGATGGGGGGGATGGGGAGTGACGATGAGAGTGGCGGTGGGATGGCGTTCAACCTGCCCACACCTAGGAGGGGTGGGCCACAGATTAAGAAGATATTCTAGTGTAAGAGAGTATGGGGACACGGAGGAACAAGACGAGCCAGAAGCAGTCGCAGCAGAAGCAGCAGCAGACGCCGGGACATGGCAGTGGGGGTTAGGATGAGCATGTACGCTACAAAATACCGCTCGTAGATTTGCATGGGCTAGGATGGGTGTGGGTGATTTGTAGGAGTGATGCTGTTGAGAGAGCAGCACGCGTGGCAGCAGGCTTACACATGGGCGGACAGATGCGAAGGAGGAATGGGATGCTGCTGGGAGTGAGAGGGTGGTGTGGTGTGGTGTGGAGCTCAAGGTGTGGGTGTAGTGGTGCACGGGTGCAGTGGTGTGGGGGACAGTTGCAGCGGCAGAGCAACGCCGCAACAGAGGAGAAGTGGAGAGAACGGTTTGGATGGATGCTAAGGAAATTGGTTTGTGCAATGCATTGGCTGCCCGTGTATGTGCAGCCCGGTGTGGTGTAGACCTGCTTACGTCGCTAGGTATTTATGTGGAATGCTTGTCGTACTACCGTAGTTGGTTTTTTTAATCAAAGTCGGTCTTTTCTGCTTGCACGGATAGGTTTGTGTGGCTGTCTGTCGAGTGACACTGGGGTTGACTTAGAGATCCTCGGAAGGGCCACAGGCCTCTTTGCCTGGGGGGCTGTGGGCGCGCTTGTCATCAAGTCACCAGTCCTGACCACAGGGACAAGAAGGGATGTCCTCAATCGAGTTAGGCTCCGTATGTCCACCTTCCCCAGGGAAAGCCTCCCTAGTACTCTCCCTAGAGAGAGAAGAGGTTCGACAGGGCTATCCCAGTGCCATGACAGCGCTGAATGTCAACTTATACATATTATCTATGTAGAAGTTATAGGCTAGACTGAGGTATGCTTCTAGTGAGTACAACCAACTAGTATTTGTTCTAGGTTTCCACCTCTAGTAATCATTCGTTTCTACGTTAACATGGTATCACGCTTAGGTTAGGATCCCCCCGCCTACCGCTTCCGCCCGTCGCGCCTCCTAGGCCCCGTCGCGCCCCCTAGGCCCCGTCGCGCCCCCCCTGGGCCCCGTCGCGCTCGTTAGGCCCCGTCGCGCCCCCCCTGGGCCCCGTCGTGCCCGCTGGGCCCCGTCGCGCCTCCTAGGCTCCGTCGCGCTCCCCCTGGGACCCGTCGCGCCCGCTGGGTCCCGTCGCGACCCCTAGGCCCTAACGCGCCCCCGCTGGGCCCCGTTGCGCCTCCTAGGCCCCGTCGCGCCCCCCATGGGCCCCGTCGAGCCCGCTGAGCCCCGTCGTGCCTCCTAGGCATCGTCGCGCCTCCTAAGCCCCGTCGCGTCCCCCCCCTCTGGGCCCCGTCGCGCCCGTTCGGCCCCGTCGCGCCCCTCCTAGGCCCCGTCGCGCCCGCTGGGCCCCTTCGCGCTTCCTAGGCCCCGTCGCGCCTGCTAGGCCCCGTCGCGCCCCCCCTGGGCCCCGTCGCGCCCGTTAGGCCCCGTCGCGGCCTCCCTGGGCCCCGTCGTGCCCGCTGGTCCCCGTCGCGCCTCCTCGGCCCCGTCGCGCCCCCCCTGGGCCCCGTCGTGCCCGCTGGGCCCCGTCGCGCCCCTTAGGCCCCGTCGCGCCCGCTGGCCCCTGTCGCGCCTGCGGTTAGCGCTCGCCCGCCTGGCCTCCTCCTAGTGCCGCTCGGCCTCCTCCTAGTGCCGCCCGGCCTCCTCCTAGTGCCGCCCGGCCCCTTCCTAGCGCCGCCCGGCCTCTCCTCAGCGCTGCCCGGCCCCTCCTCGTGCCCGACCGGCCCCAGCAGCACCAGCCTGGCCCCTCCCAGCACCAGCCCGGCCCCAGAGCACCTGCCCGCCTCCCCTGCTCGGCCTGCTGTGTCCTCTCGGGCCCTGTGTCTTCTGCTTGCCTGCGCTGGGACGCCTAGCTGCTGCCCTACTGGAGAGTGCTGCCGCCGTGTCCCCGCGCCGCTGTGCTCCTGTGCCGCTGAGGAGCTGTGCTGCTGTGCCGCTGTGTCGCTGAGGAGCTGTGCCGCTGACCCTGCACGATGGCTGACTTTGTGCTCCGCCTGGACGCTGAGGGCCACGCGGTTGACTTCGCCGCCTGGCTCTCCGATCTTCGCCGCCAGCTTACAGGTCAGCGCCAGGATGGCCACTCTCTGGTTGTCCATGCTGATGGCTTGCTCCCCCGTCCCCCTGCACCTACTCCCCTCCCTGCTGACCCCTCCTCTGATGACCGTGAGGCTTTCTCTACTGCTGCGCTGGCCTGTGCGGTCTGGGACTCACGCGATGCAGTAGCTCATGTTGCTATTAGTCATGCCCTCCCTGTGTCTGAGCGCTCGCGTTTTGCTACTGTTGAAACGGCCAAAGCTTATTTAGACGCCGTTATTGCTCGCTATTCCACCCCTGCCTCCGCTTCTGCTGGCCGCTTGCTCTTTCCGATGCTGTTCCCAGACCTGGCTGCCTTCCCTACTGTCGCAGATTTTGCCACTCATTTGCGTGCCCTAGAGACTCGCTATCGCACTGCCAGCACTGCTGCCCAGCTCACTGCGCTCCCCCCTCCTTTCTGCATGACGCTCTATTTTATCGCTATGCGCCTGCCAGACCGCCTCGCTAGTGCTCGCGACCACTTTCTTAGCCAGCACCCGGGTGACCTCACCCTGACCGCCTTTGTCGACACCCTCACTGAGATCGAGACTCGCCAGCGCACTATCGCTCAGTCGAGCGGTGCGCCGGCAGTCTCTATCTTTCACGGCTGTGCCCCATCCCAGTGCACATTCACTGACGTTTCGGCTGCGGTCGCCACGGCGACCCCTCTTACCGAGACGGCTGCTGCTGTCCACCCGCAGCAGCGCTCGCGTCGCGGTGGCCGTGGCCGCCAGGGAGGTAGGGGTGGTGACGCAGGTGGTAGTGGTCGTGGTGGTGGTGACGGTAGTCCGCCTGAGGGGACTACCACCGGTGGGCAGGAGCAGCAGCCCCAGCAGCAGCAGGACCAGCCCCAGCCGCAGCCGCCGTCCCAGCAGCACCCGCCGCAGTCGTGGGCTCGTCTCCCGCCTGGTTGGCCCGGCACCTCCGGAGGCGGTGGCCGTGGTGGCGGCCCGCGCAGCTTGGCGTCTACCAGCGGCTCCAGTGCTGTGACCTGCCAGTACCAGCTTCAGACAGGGCCTCTCCGCGGCACTCTGTGCCGCCGCCCGCACCCGACCGCCCGCTGTTTCCGCCGCCTCGACGATCTTTTTCGTCGTCGCTTTGGCCCGGCCCCGGACCTCCCTGACTGGCACAGCCTGCTCCGCCAGGGCGTGCCGATCTTTGAGTTAGACATGGATCAGATAGGTGCTGCTTTGCATGCTTTGTATGCTGACGCTTCTAGTGTTGCTGGATCTTACTACCCTGTGTACTCTAGTTTAGGTGTTTCACCCTTGTGTAGCTTAGCTTCCCCTGCTGCGACAGGCGTAGGACTGCCTAGGTTGCCTAGTCTAGTCGCTGCACCGGCTCCGTCCCCGGCCTCCGCCACTGCGTCGCTGTCCTTCACTCTCGACTCTGGTGCTTCTGCCTGCTTCTTCCGCGACCGTTCCACGCTCACGCCGCTTGCTGCACCTGCTGTTGTCTCTCTCGCTGACCCCTCTGCGGGTCCGGTCGTCGCGCGCAGTTCTACGTCCCTTCCCTGTCCGGCAGTTCCCTCGGGCTCCCTTACTGGCCTCCACGTTCCCTCGTTCTCCAGGAACCTGGTTGGTGTCGGCTGTCTCCAGGACCTCGGCGTCACCACCACGTTCCCCGGGCACGAGCGGTTCGCTGTCTGTTCTGAGGCTGTCTCAGGTTCCCCCCTTGCGACGTTCCCCCGGGACCCGGTGTCCGGTCTGTTTACCCTACACACCGCTTCCCCCCCGGTTGGTGCGTCCTCCCAGGTCGCTGCAGCTTGCTCGTGTCGGTCCCTCACTCACCCCTCCCTTCTCTGGCACCACCGCTTAGGTCACCCTGCTCTCCCGCGTCTGCGTCACATGTCCCAGCACGGTCTTGTCTTAGGTCTCCCCGCGTCGCTCCCTGCCCTTCCTCCCTCGACTGCGCCACCGTGCACGCCTTGCGTCGAGGGTCGGCTCCGCCGTGCTCCTCACTCCTCCTCGCTGCGTCCTGCTACTGCCCCCCTTCAGACCCTGCACTTGGACGTTTGGGGCCCTGCCCCCGTCCCCGGACCGCGCGGTGAGCGCTACTTCCTTGTGCTCGTCGACGACTACACGCGCTACACCACGGTGTTTCCCCTGGAGCGGAAGGCCGACGTGCCCGACGTTCTTCTCCCGTGGGTTGTGGCTGCGCGTCTCCACCGCGGTCTCCCCGTGTTGTGTCTCCACTCCGACCGTGGCGGCGAGTTCGCCTCTGGTCGGCTTGGACAGTTCTGTCGTGCGGAGGGCATCACCCAGTCGTACACGTTGCCGGACTCGCCACAGCAGAATGGGGTTGCTGAGCGCCGCATCGGCTTGGTCATGGAGGTCGCCCGTACCTCCATGATCCATGCCGATGCCCCCCATTTTCTGTGGCCGTTCGCTGTTCGCTACGCGGCTCACCAGCTTAACCTGTGGCCACGCTCCCAGCGGCCGCAGGTTTCGCCGACCCTCCTTTGGACCGGGTCCCCCGGTGACGCGTCTGCGTTCCACGTCTGGGGCTGCCTTGCTCACGTTCGTGCCTCTGGCACGGACAAGCTCACTGCCCGCACTGTCCCCTGTGTCTTCCTCGGTTTCCCCCTGGACTCGTCTGACTGGCTTTTCTACCACCCGCCGTCTCACCGCTTCCTCCACTCTCGTGACGTCACCTTTGACGAGTCCGTCTCCTTCTACCGCCGCTTCCCTCACCGAGGTCTCCCAGTTGCCCCCCCCTTTTCCTTGCTCCCTCTCCCCCGGTAGCCCCTGCCCCTCTCCCGCCTCATCCTGCCCCGTCTGGTGTCTCCCACGTCACTCCCCTCCCGTCGGTTGTCCCCGTTGAGGAGTCTGCTGACTCTGGTGGTACCCCCGGTCCGTCCTTGCCGCGTCCCCCTTCCCCGGTGCCTCCGCCCCCACTGTCGCAGTCGCCGACCCCGCTGCCGCCGCCGTCGCCGTCGCCGCCGCAGCCGTCGCCGCTGTCGTCGCCGCCGCCGCCGCTGTCGCTGCCGCAGCCGTCGCCGCTGTCGCCGCCGCCGCAGCCGTTGCCGCCACTGCCGCCGCTGCTCTCGGCCCCTGGGGGTGCTGGTGTGGAGGAGGGTGTTCGTCCTGCGGCTTCTGGGGGTGCCGCTGGTGTTGGAGGGGGTTCTCGCTCTGGGGGTGTTGGTTCTGGGGGTGCTGCTGTTGAGTGTTCTGCCGACGGTCGTTCTGCCTCTGCTGGTCCGAGAGTTCCGGCCCAGCCGTCGTCGCCACCGGTTTCCGCTCTCCGCCTGCTCGGCCTTCCCTCCCCGGACCGCGCGCCGGTGTCTCCCCCACCGCCTCCTGACCTCCCTGTCTACGGTCCTGTGTTCCCGCCGCCAGACTCGTCTCCGGCCCGTCTTCCTCCTCGTTCCCCTCCTGTGTCTCCTCCGCTGTCCCCTGACCCTACCCCTCCGTCTCACGTTTGGGCTCGCCGTCCCTCC